ACGCAGCCCCGCTCTCTTTAGCTCCAGTCGACTTGCTGCTGCTTTCCTCCGTGGTGAAACGATCAGAGGTGAAGTGCTGCCGGAGCACGCCCGCACTTCACACATTGCAGTACCCATAAGGAGCTGTACAAATGCCGCAGTTTCTGCGTGGCTGTGTCTTTAGTTGAAAGCCCAGTGGCGATCTGCTCATCTCTCATCGAAAATAATATGCTACACAGGGGCGGACTGGCCGTCTGTGTGTTCTGGAGAATCACAGAACGGACGGTCGTCATTATTGTTATTATGCCGTTTAAACCAATTCTTTAAATTTGTTCAAACCACATCATGTAAGTAGCGCTGACGAGGTGAAACGGTTCACACACTGCTTCCCCGCAGCGAGGCTCCCCCCCGCCCCCCCCCGTTGACAGTTCACGATCGTCGGCACACTGACCACATTTTTTTTTCTTTTTTAGAAAATGGCACTTTATATCAAAAATGTTGCCGACCCCTGCCTTAGAATATGTCTATTGAATGACCTATGCAATACGTTTAAAAACTATGTGGCACTTTGCTGCCTGTCATCACTTTTCTCGCCCACCTTTCCTACTCTACTTTCATTAAAGCAAAAAAAACAGCTCAAAACAATCCTAACACAATTGGATCCTCACCGAGAACTTGTCCTACGATCATCCTCCCGTCCTCTCCATCGACAGCAGAGCGCGCCGTCCTCTCGTTGAGAAACTGGACGAAGGCGTATCCCTTGTGCACTGAGCAGCCAACGATCTTGCCGTATTTGGCGAAGATGGACTCCACGTCGGCCTTGGTGACCAGCAGGGTGTTGAGGTTCCCGATGAACACCCGGGAGTTCAGGGAGCGCTGGTCCGTCTTGTTGGTGACGTTGCTGGCCATGAGGCTGGCGGTGGTGGGGGAGCGACTAAAACGGGAAGAAACACAAAGAGACAGGTCACATGTTTAGTGGCAGGATATTTAATTAATTCCTCTGATATTCTCCTGCTGTCCCCGTGTTAAATACTGGTGAGTCCCTCCCTCAGCTGTGAATCAAGACAATAGTGTAGAATATAATCAAATCTAGTGCAGATAACGAAGGATAAACCCACAGGAAGTTAAGGGGGGGGATATGAGGCTATTTACCCTTTTTGTTTCAACAGGAGAATCCAAAACCTGTCCTAAATTTGGTCTGAAATGTTCCTTGTATAAAGTCTTGCTGCATATTTTCCCCTATCTAATAAACACATTTCTAAGTTTCTCAGTCTAAATATAGATAATTTTCTTATTATGCACCACATTCTGGGACAAACCAACAAAATTAAGCATACAATTGGAGGCCTGAGCGAAGTAAAGCATACACCGACTCAAGTTTTTAGTAATCATATTATCTCCAGAATGACAGACTGAATTTTAGTCCATAACAAAAATTAGCAGCATATTTCCACTGTTTGAAGCGTGTAGCTGCTTTTATCAATGAACTTCATTTAAGTATTTGTATACAAAACAACATTATGCTGCAAAATACAAGATAAAGTATTACAAAAAGAAATCCCTTTCAGGCTGTAGAGAAGGTTGAACATTCGGCTGATTTAAGAGTTAAGGAATGCTACTGGACTTAATATTTAAGGTATTTTAAAGTGAGATGCTGTACTTGTATGGTATCATTTGTACCAATAGTAATGTTTTGAGTTTGATCAGTTTGGGGTTTAGTCAGTGCTAATTGTTGGCGCTTTAATACAGTATTGAAAAAGGGGTGGCAAATGTGTTTATTTCTGGGTATTAGTCAGTTGAAAATGCTGGTGAAGGCAGCGTAAAACTATCCATTTCACTCAGCAGGAGAACATTTAAATGACTAAACTGCAATTCACCATTAAGACCAGTAGAGGACAGCATTTAAAATAAAGAAATGTAATCTGATGTCATGCTCCATAAAAAAGGGGAGAAAAAAAATGCTATGTGCTGCTCTTACCGCAGAACTAAAAGCTCTCAGATTTGTAAATCCCCGATAATAAACTATTTTTTATTTACTGGATTGTCTCTGTAGTCCAGCTCACTCATGATCTAATAAAGAGGCTGTGTTATTATTCTATTAGACGCAAGGAAGGATGAGAGAACCATATAAAGCCCAGAACCGTGTCAAGTGGAGATGGAAAGTGATCCCCGATACAGCAAACATGAAAACATTAGTGTGACCCCCCGGGCTGACAGGGGGTCGAACATTCATCACTCACTCCATAGCGTCTGTGTGCAGTCGTCTGAGGTTTCACACTGAGGGCTGGGATCAGTTTGGGCTGTCACGACCTTCGCCCCTCACGATAAATACTGAGGTGACAGAAAACACACTCAGTCAAGCTGAGCAGGGTTATGATGTACCAAGTCTTACCTGGTTGGAGTGAGATGAGGCAAACAGAAAATCACCTCAAAAAATAAAAGAAAAAAATAGGTATGCGTTTCCAAGAAAATCCCATTACAACAAGCTACTCCGGGACTGAACCCTAACCATAATGCATGTTAACGTGATATATCTATTGCTATTAAGCATGAACTCTGGGAGAATATTATATTTATCCAAGAGTAAGGGAAATCTAAACCTGCTAAACCGAACAAAACCATTACAATCACCAACTTGACTTGAAAAGTCGTAAGGCAGGCCCAACATATCCCATATGTAGAGGAGTTTGTATATTATAAACACAGTAGGTGAAGCCCTTTAAGAGCTGGTGTATACAATGATAAAGGCATATTTTAGAATGTTATCAAAGGCATTTTCATGTTTAAAACATATAAATCAGGTGTCAAATGTACTAATTATCTAGGCCTAGTCAAATACCATCTACTCCTATAATTGATAGTAAAAATATATATACGAGTCCTTATCTAATACTCTTTTAGCATGAAGTAATATCATTGTAAATATTAGACCAGTTAAGAATTACAGACCTCTTTAAAATCGAAAATAAATCACAATAAAAAGTAGCCTACACATAAAATAATAATAGTAAAGAATTCGAGTAGAGAGATTGAGGGGAAATAAGAGATGTAATACATAACTTAAAGCTTTATATTATAGGACCATGCCTTTGGTTTTAATTTAGTAGTATTCCCCCTGAATGTGAACATTTCTCTTGTCTCTTATGAACAGTCTATGGGAGCTTGTGGGTGTTTCTGTGGCCTGGGGGTGAATGTGAAGGCGTGATTTCATTTTGATACACAAACAGCCATAATACTCATTCAGATCAACAAACGTTTAATTAAGTAAATGTGTATTTCTTTTGTAACGACATGCAACAAAACTGAGGCCACCGGAAGACCACTTCCAAAAGCAGAAAAATCTCTCTTGCATCAAAAGAGGAGAAAAAGAAAAAACACTGGAAAAATCTACTCTTGATCCAGAAAATCGAAAACCATCCATCCACCAACAGGCCTCGGTGAAAAACACAAGGCCGGCTAGCCAACCACAACTCGAAAAGCATTTAAAAAAGAGATCAGGCCAGTTCCTCTGCTTGCAAAAAACAAAACCTGCAAAAGAGTGACGAAATCTGCAATGGATCAGGGAGAAGCTGCGACTATAAAAACCAACAAGAGCCTCTTAGCTATGAGCTAGCTTAGCTTAGACAAAACAGTCCCGTCAAGGAAAAATCTTCACAATAAACGCAGGAAAACCAAAGCTACACAATCTTGCGAAAAATGGAAGAAACCGCAGCTAAGATGCATCCAAAAGAGTGGCATTTCTTAAAAAACACAATCAGCGTGTGTGTGTTTTCTTTCAGGGGGAAAAGAGCGAGTTAGCATAGCTAGCTACCTCGCTAGCTAGCCATCACATAACGCTGGTAAAATAGAAAAAGCATCGTTGCAAAAAATCCAAAAAGAAAAGAAAAAGGAAGGAAAAATAAACAAAAATGTCTGGGAACAAAATACTCACCACGACCTTTAGGGTAAAATGTCTTGCTTTCAGTAAAATGCGTGACTACAGGCCGTCCTTTTATGAAGCTCTGAGCAGCTTTCTCTTACCACCGAGCTGTGATGGCGGTGGCGCAGTACTGGGAAAGGATGCTTGTTTTGGATCATAAAACACCCCGGGAAGGCGGGGTCTGTGATTGAGGGAACATTAAAACAGCACCACCCACTCCGGTGTGGCCTGGTGTTTAAAACATACTCACCTGTTGTCTTTGAAAGTCAGTCTTTCTTTCCTACAAATATTTCTGCCTTGATTTCGTCTTTGAATAAGGGTTTAACTTTGTCTGTTTTACATAAGGAAACGGGTATTTAAGTCATAATTGTGAATTATGTTTAAAATGTTATTTTTTTAGATTAATGGCAAATCACAAACACTTTTTTTTCAGTTGTTGTGAATGATGCTGAGGTGATGTCATTCTATGGCTGAATAAAATAGTTGATTGACAGGAAGAAAAAAATAATAGTTGTTATGATCACGTCACTTTTCAAGCATAGATTCCCTGTTTTATGTGCTTTATTGTGAAAATGTGCCCTCTACTTCTGTCTTATTCAAGAGATATCTGAGTGTTTTCTAGGTTTTAGACTGGTGATAAGACCATATTAAATTGCAATCAGCTTTAAATACTTTACTGGCATTGTTCACAAATCGTTTGATTTTATTCAGTATCTAAATTGTTTGTTGCGGTCCTAAAGTCATGGTGTGTTATGTGTACCACCATGATCTGTAGAAAAACTCTGTAATGACATGACTCCACAAACAATTACAATTCAAATGTAATTTAATCATTTAGTATTTCCCTTTAAAAAGTATTTTACAGTCACAGTACATTATACAAGTAAATATTAAAACACAATAAGGATGACACAGCTGGTTTGGCTTGGGTTTCCCTGAATGTGTGTTCAAGTTTACTTTAGTTTCAGTAAACAATTCAAAGTCTGCAAATGTGTGTTTATAAAAACTACCTGAAGTGTGTTACGGAAATCTTAGACCCAGTCAATACTATGGAGATACACGAGTCAGAATGATCAAACAATAAATGGTGCAACAAACAGAGTTGTCTTTCTGGTTATTTATTTGAATATATTCAAAGACACAGGTCTCACAGAGTATAGGATAGTCTGCAGGAGTGTGCGCAATAGTCACAAAATAGCAAAGCTTACAAGAAAGGGCGGGCAGACAGAGTTTCCTCAGAAATCTGCTTTCACACGGTCTCATATTGTTATGGGAGTTCAAACTTTGTGTGAGACACCCGTGTCCTTGAGCCGTAGCGAACTTTGTGTAAAAAGGAGTAGTTTCAACATAAACTGCCAAATCAGCTCTGTGGCCTTGAAGCGCTTGGGAATAAAACCCCTCATTAGAGTATAAAGAGAAAACAGCACATATCAGGAAATGGTATAGTTGTTTTAGACAATGCTTTTAGAAGCATATAAGGTAACATAAGAAATTGCCACTACATTCTCCCCTTTTGATCATACTTGATCAATCATAAAAAAATAACAAATGACAGGATAGACTGATATAACACATCAATGAATACACTCCATCGCTGGTTTAAGTAAACACATCACAAATATATCATAGAAAACTGGCTGTTTTTGTGGAGGACAGACTCCAATATAATGTAAGCATAAGAGGAGGGTACACTCGATTCACATGGATTATATTGTAGTGTCGAAATCAGACTCTTCTGATTCTAGCTCACGAACAGGGGTACGGTGGAATGTACAAGGTATACGATTCTCGTAGCTGTGGCGCAAAGTAGGATTGTCCTGTAGTGGAATAGCAGCATACTGAACGAAAGCTGAGGATACCATGCTGGAAACGCACTTCTTCAGTATTGGGATAATGAAACAGGTACAACTGATTAATAGGCCGAAAATGATCACCAGGGGTGTAATTATTCTATGATTGTCCAGGCTCTGCAGTAGTATCCGCACTTTCCACATTGCTCACGGTTGCGTTGTCGTCTTTCCAGGCGAGCCCTCATCACGAGGCGGGGATGCTCCATCTGGTGTGTGTGTGTATTCCCTCGGTTGATTTTGTGACACGGACAGTCAGACCCCGCACACCGATAACACAAATGAGGAACCAGAGGCATATGAAACCGCTCAGCTGGCACTCGCTCGTGACACCTTGTGTGTAGTGTGAGTTTTGGTGTATGTAGTGCAAGTGTGGTGCTGGTGGTGACTTGGGACGTCACTTGTTGTCGTCTGCTTCTTCCGTTGGTGACTTGGCACGTCACTTGTTGTCGTCTGCTTCTTCCGTTGGTGACTTGGCACGTCACTTGTTGTCGTCTGCTTCTACCGTTTCTCCTTCCCTGTGACTACGACCTTGCAGTGGCTGGCGTGGACCCACGTGGCTCTCTCGGCAACCTTGACCGCTGTCTGGGTGACGAGAAGCACCTGGTAGGGACCTTGACACCGATTGGATTTCCAGCTCTTTCTCCGGAAATCCTTGACCAGCACGAAGTCGCCGGGTTGGAGATGGTGAAGTGGACCAGTGGCAGGGGTAGGTAAGGCTGCGGCTACCTGACGTCGGATGTCTGCTAAAGTGGATGACAGGTTAACACAATATGACAACATAGCATCCTCACACAAAGTTGTGGAGGGAAGAGGACATCCTGGAGCCTTGAGTCCAATCTGTGGAGGAGCCCCAAAAAGGATTTCAAATGGGCTGAGTTGGCTCCGTGTTAGTTTCCGCATCCGCATGTACATCAGCACAATGGGCAGAGCCTGTGTCCATGACAGACCTGTGTCTGCACAGCATTTTGCTAGCTTGTTTTTTATTGTGCCGTTCTCTCTTTCCACCGCGTAATGCAAATTAGGCATTCTTCACAGTGCTTTTGAGCTGTTACTGTGAACCCCCTTGTGAACTACTCCTGATTGATAGCCTCTAACATCCCTCCTTTTGACACATGATCCAACCCATGTGTCAACTTAGCAAAATGAGGGAAGAAATGTCTTGGGAGACATGGATTGGAATTTGGACCAACCCAGATGCTGGAGGTTGGGTCAAAAACAGTCCCAGCAGCCTTCCACTGAGCCTTCTCAACTGGTGTAGCTAGCTGCTGCATGGAAGTCAGTGATGACATTTTGTCAGTGAAGGAGGAGACAGGGATTTTAACAAATGAGTGTGCGTGAGGTGCGAGAGGAATCAGAGCAGCTGCCTTTGCGGCTGAGTCAGTAGGCGCATTTCCTAGGGAAATTGGGCCTGTACTGCTTGCGTGTGCGGCACATTTACAGACTGCAACTTCAAATGGGAGCAGAATGGCGTCTAGTAAGCCTGCAACCAGTACATGGTTAAGTACTGGTTTGCCATCAGATTTCAGAAATTGTCTACACTTTCAAATAGCCCCAAAATCGTGTACTACTCCGAAAGCATAACGTGAGTCAGTGTAGATAGTCACAGTTTTGCCTGCAAACGTGCGATGAACTCTGCTGCTTGTGCTGAGAGGTGGCATGGGAGTGGGCCGGAATGGAGTACAGCAGAATCTGAAACAACAGAAAAACCCACCCGATTAGTGCCCCCTTGGTCGCGAGAGGCAGACCCATCAACATACAAAATGAGGTCAGCGTTGGTCAGAGGAACGTCTTTTAAGTCCGGTCTAGGTGTGCACACAATGAGAAGTTCGGCAACACAGTCGTGTTCATCACCGTCTTCAGGCAAAGGCCTTGACACAAACATGTGAATGTGTAAGGTTTACCATCATATTCAAATGCAAACCAGAATTGGCTGTCTTTGTGTACAGGGACACTGAAAAATGCATTTGAGAGATCTATGACAGTAAAAAATGCTGCAGAGGCTGGAACTTGGGAAATAATCAGATAAGGATTTGGGACGAGCGGTGCGCGTGCATGCACAGCTGCATTTACAGCTGCATTTACAGCTCGTAAATCCTGGACAAATCTCCATTCGTCAGGAGGTTTGTCTCTGATCTTTTTGACAGGAAACACTGGAGTGCGTACCGGGGAATCGTTACACGGAATAATGACCCCTTGTTTAAGCAGAGAGGTAAACACTGGCCGAATGCCATCAACAGCTTCACGTTTCAATGGGTACTGGGGTTGATTTGGACGGAACGTGGACTTAGGAGTGATAACTACAGGCTCAGCAGAGCGGATTAAACCTACGTCATATTTGTGAGCTGCCCAGAGTGAGTATGGCACATCTGAAAGCGCGGCAGGAATCTCAGAAATATGAGAATTACCCGTAAAGGCGGGAAAAATGGCATCACCAACGTCATCCTCCTCAACCAACAGCAATGTGCGCAGAACGGCTACGTTCGTGCAAATTTTCATTTTATACACGTCACGTGACATAGAGTACATGACATATTCTGTGTGTGTAGGTGCCCAATCAGTGACTGACTCCCAATCTTTAACGATTGGACCCAAATCCCTCCATCTATCAGTGGGGCCCCTGGCTAGTGAAATGTGTGGGACCGCCCCTGGGATTTGATACAGCTTGTGTTGTGTGGGTGCGAGTGTAACAGAAATAGCGCTGCGCAGCTAACTCCAATACATAGTTTTAAGCATGAGTTCATCATTTACACATTCTAACAGAAACCTCTCATCATAGTATTGACATGGATCGTCAACAACGTTAGCAGTACAATGCAAATGAGGAGCTTCCATGAACACAGCAGGTGGAAAAACACGTTGATCAGTCAAACGCAACAACGCCTGAGAATCAGGATATGTCAGCAGCCATTGATACACATTCAACAGATCTCCATCATCAAATGAGAGTTTTTGAACCATCGTAGGAGATGGCTGTCGGACTTTAAGACCCTCATTTGTGGAAAAATGAGGTCCAAGCCGAACCGGAGAATCAGATCTCTGCCTAGTAAATTTATTGGGCAGACAGATGATAAAAGAAAACTGTTTTTGACTGATGTGGGAAATGGATGACTGTCATCACCGTTATCTTTACACTGAAGTGGTACAGAAAACTTCTCCTTCACAGTTACCCCAGCCGCTCCTATTGAGTGAATAAATCTACCACTAAATTTGCAATCAGGCAAATCTGCCCTTTTTACCACAGAATGTGTAGCCCCAGAATCAACCAAAAATGTAACATCAAACACCCATGATAGCTAAAGTTAGTGTGGGACATTTCTTAAATGCTGTTTCACTGTCATATTTCAAATATGTACCCTTTAACCAGACATGTCTTCTACATTTTCCAATTACTCAATAGCATGATGTGTGTGTGTGTGTGTGTCACTTCCCTGTTCAGATGCTGCTGGCTGAATTTCCGTCTCGCTCGATTGGGCCCCTTCCTCCCCATCTGGTGTATTTCAGTCTGATTGTGAATGGCCCCGTCCTTGCTGTCCCCCTCTGCCTCCGCTGCCAGTGTTCTGTGGGCAGTCCCGGATCCAATGTTCAACACTGCCACACTTGAAACATCTTTCGCCGTTTGAAGGTCTTGCTTCTCGTCCTCTGCCTCGGAAAACCTCCTCTGCCTCTCCCTCGGTATTGTGAGCGGCCAGCATTCTGCGTGGCTTGCGCTGTGGCTGTGAGTCCGTTGAGGAAGGCATTACTGAGGTGTGTCCCCCAAACACCTACTTGGTCCCCGAGGACATCGGGTTTGTTTATCCCGCTGTTGTCCCGGAATACTTGGGCCTGATGGGGGTGGACGAGCTTGGAGTTGACGGGGAGTCTGCTGACTGCATGGTTGGGGCTTGTAGTGGCGGGGGAGGTGGTTGAGGTGGGCCAGCCGGATTGCCAGGGTTGTATGCCGGGGGAGGGAAAGGATACCCAGAGTCGAGGAGAGGGTCATTCAGGCCTGCAATGGAAGGATACAGAGATGTCTGGGGTTTACATGGTTTTGGAAATAATTTATTTTCCTTCTTTTCTTCACATTCATCTTCAACCTTAATATTTTCTTTATTGCCGAGGCCAACTGCCTCCTTTCACGGCATTCTGCTTCATCCTCCCAGTATTATAAACACTTTCTGTGAGTTTCCAGCTTTTCTAAAAGTATTTTACTTTAACTCTACTCTTCTTTTTCATTCCATCTTGACACTCTTGTAATTTATCCCTTAGGTTTTTGATTTTTAATTTACTCAAAGAACCTCCCTTTGGAAATCCGAACATTTCCATCCAGATATTTAATTTAGACAGACTGTTTTCACCATGTTTTGCTCGCATGACATCCACAATCGGACCCTCAGGAGGGTGTACTAGCCCCCTACTCTGCTTTGCGTTCCATAACAAAGTCTTTAAGTGTTATCTGAACACCCCGTGTTACCAAAACACTATTTTTCACCCACTGGTGATGTGATACTTGTTCCTCAGTACAAATCACCCAAAAACTGATCGTAAACCCTGGTTACGACGGATATCCCAAATATCCTACTTTCGAGCAGTCCCTCTCATAAATGTCATGGAGTTTAATTACGTTTAACTTTAAACAATTTAGACACTGTACATCTCACCGAGTATTGAAAGCCTTTTGAGTTCGTTGGATCTCGTGAAGTCAATCGGTTCTACCCCGGCGCTGGTCCTCTCGTCCCGTACGGTTTCTGTCGAGGTAGAGGAGAATCCGAGGATCCTGGAGCGCGACCACCAGCGTCCGTAGGTGTCCCCAATCGAACTTGCAGAGATCCTGCCGACAACGCTAAATTGTTACGGAAATCTTAGACCCAGTCAATACTGTGGAGATACACGAGTCAGAATGATCAAACAATAAATGGTGCAACAAACAGAGTTGTCTTTCTGGTTATTTATTTGAATATATTCAAAGACACAGGTCTCACAGAGTATAGGATAGTCTGCAGGAGTGTGCGCAATAGTCACAAAATAGCAAAGCTTATATACAAGAAAGGGCGGGCAGACAGAGTTTCCTCAGAAAACTGCTTTCACACGGTCTCATATTGTTATGGGAGTTCAAACTTTGTGTGAGACACCCGTGTCCTTGAGCCGGGAGTAGTTTCAAAGTCTGCCAAATCAGCTCTGTGGCCTTGAAGCGCTTGGGAATAAAACCCCTCATTAGAGTATAAAGAGAAAACAGCACATATCAGGAAATGGTATAGTTGTTTTAGACAATGCTTTTAGAAGCATATAAGGTAACATAAGAAATTGCCACTACAGGTGCTAGATAGGCTGGATCAGATGGAAACATATTACATAAATGCAAACCTGTAATTACAACACTTTTTCAATAGCCCTATGCAGGAAATTAATAACATAATTTATTATAATAATAATACATGGGATTTGTATAGCGCTTTTCCTAATGCTCAAATACGCTTTACATATAACCAATTAAGGCATTTAAACCATAACAAGTGTTTAATCTGGAGTTTGATCACAAAGTACATCTCATGAACAAACAAAGTGCAAAATGACCTTCAAACATGTCTTAATGAGTTCAGTGAAAATATTTTAATAAATAACTTGACACTCGGTTTCTTTCTTTCTTCATGGCATCAAACTGGACAGCTCTCTCTCCTCTCAGACTCTCAGCAGGACGGAGAGCGTGAGGACGCTCAGCAGGAGCAGCACAGCTGGAGGGAAGGAGGAGAAAGATGTTTATCACAAAATATTGAATCATTAAGCTCCTCTGCTGTTTGATTGTTACCATGGCGCCTCCTTTTTTCTCTTTGTTTTACAGATATCCAGTTTTATATGCAGAGGTTTAAAAAAAGATGGATCCAGTTAAATACCTTCACCCAAAAACCATGTGAATTAATGGAGGTTTTTTTGTCTAAGAATCTCCCTTCTACTCTAGATGATCCTCTAAACATGTCATTTGTATAGTGATGGTCATATTTCAACCTGCTTTAAGAAACTCATAATTCTACGTCATAAAAAGTTATAATATAGTAGAGCATTAAAAGTCATAATATGCCACATTTAATGCTATGTTACAAAGGAAAACAATATGCTTTAAAAAGCAATTGCAAAAAATCAAAGTATGTCATAGAAAAATATAGTAGGTTAAAACAAAATATCATAACAATCATGGTATAATAAGTACTTATAGATGTCATGAGTATAAACAAATGTTATATTATAGCATGCCATTAAAAAAACATAGAAAATGATGTAATAAAACATTCTCAAAAAAGTCAAAAACAAATAAGGACAATGAAGCTTTAAAAAAAATGGTTTAATACTGTGAGCATCACAGATGCAATTCCAACCCATTGTTTAAATAATTAATACTAAATTCCATATTTCCAGGACACTGTAGGAACAATACAAACGTTTTTCCTCCTCCCACCATTTACTGATCTTATCTCTCAGTATCTAGTTCGTCGTGGATTGCTCTCAAATGTGTTGAATCAGGACACCATATACTTCTGGACCGAAGCTTCTGAAAACCTCAAGCTGGAGAGAAATGATATATGTGTTTTTTCTTACCATGAGGCTGGAGAGCTCCACTGTTGTTGGGCATGGTGGTGTTGCTGGGCATGGTGGTGTTGCTGGGCATGGTGGTGTTGCTGGGCATGGTGGTGTTGCTGGGCATGGTGGTGTTGCTGGGCATGGTGGTGTTGCTGGGCATGATGGTGGTGTTGCTGATGGGTGCTGTGGTGGTGGGTGCTGCTGTGGGGGGGACGTTGCTGTCGGGTTTGATGAGGTCCAGTGGTTTGCTGCCGAACAAGAGATTGAAGGCACCGAGAACACCTGAACAATCACAAGAGGAGGACAGATCAGTGGGAGGTTAGACATGTATTGACAAACCTTTAAGATATAGTTGAATGCATTGAATACAGAATCGTATCAATTCATAAACATTTCAAAGTGGAAGCAGTTAATCTGTTCTTATCTCTGGATATAAGCGTGCAAATCTGTAATGATATATATTTTTTATTTATGCCAAAAGGGAGAAAACAGTAAATAATCAAGCACTTATAAATAAAATAGTTATACAGTGTGTGTATCTGTGTGTGTACTTACTTCCGTCAAAGCTTCCGTTCCCGAGCAGGACGGAGAAGGTAGTGGCTTCACTGCTCCTGATGTTGGAGGCGTTCAGGTTGGGGACAGTGAACTCACACTTGATCATATTTCCGTTCACCATGCCACGGATTTCTTTCACTCTCTAGAAAAAGATAGATAATGTAATAACTGTTTCCAAGGCTGTGTGCTGAAGCCAAGGATAACATCTGCTTCACTGAGCAACTCGAATCTAACAGCAGCTGCCTCTCAAAACCAGACTTTTCAGTTTTCACATGTACAAATCTAATGTACAATCTAATGTTGGCATTTGTGGGTGATAAAAAAAAATCGAACGATCTCTCTAGATTAAGAAACTATCAGTATTCTAAATTAAATGTGCGACAGTTGAATGAATGGACAATAATCTGAGTATCTGAGCAATATGTGCATTCATTAAATCACTATCATTTTCTCATATTAAGATTACATTGTAAGCAGTAGAAAAAAAGATATGAAGGTATTTCAATTTCTGGTTCTCCATTGTTTCATATCACATAAATAAGTACATTTCCCTAAGTGTGAATACATGAATATGCCAACATCTCTCTGTATGAGTGTACATTTGAAATCTCACCGTCTCAGTTGGAGTGAGCATATTGTCAGTGTTGTTCCTCTGCATTGTCCGGAAGAAGAACGTCCCGTTGTCCGAGCTGTTCTGAGCGCAGATGACAAGCATGCTGGTCCCCTGCGGAAAGAAATATTGGTGAAAATATGAGATGGCTGTGTGTGTGTGTAAAAAAATAAAACGTTTAAATACAAGAAAAAAACGTAACTAAATTGTGAAATTATTTTGTCATAGTCGTTGGAGAAAACGTGATAACAAAATAATGAGAAAAAATGGGTGTTATTTTAAAAACAAGTGTATGAGGCATCAAGAGTCAAGTGTACCAATTATACTTAGAAAAGACAGAAAGGCAGCAGCACAATACACAAACACAAGAAGGTCATTCTGAAGCATGAAAGTATAATATTCAACTTATTTTTAAGTGGGCTTATGCTATATATCTTCAGCGTTTAAAGAAGTTGCACAATTGATGACAGTCTGACATTTTCCTTCAGTTTAAATCTTAGCTTAAATGTATGAAATTGTATATTTGGCATCTGGGTAATGTTGCGTGACACACAAGATGAAACGTTGATGCGTGAGTACATAACACATCATTGTAATATCAGGTAATAAAACACCGGTTTATTAATTCTCTATGGAAACAAAGCAGCCGTATGGTGTTCCTCAAACAAATGTAGGCAACTATTATGTTATTATGTATGTGTCCTATTTCAGGTGCTGGATCCTAAATCCCACGTCTTTAAACACAACAAACATGAAACAGACAGAGAGAGACACTGAATCTTCTTTGGCTCAAAGCCTGCCGGACACACAATGATGTTTTCTCTACGCTCTTCAGTATTTTACAATGGAAACAATGTCCTTATCAACTGAATAAATATTTGATCATGTCAATACATTTCACATGATGCTACTTCACATGAGTTTGTATGTAGTCATGAGATCCTGGTGACTTGTGTAAAGATAGTCAGTTTTCTTTGCTGGGAGCTTAGGCATCACAATAGGGCGTAACATAAAGATATATCCTGTCGTCAGAATAACTCGTAAAACCTGTCTCCCACTGCTGATTCATTTCTAAAAACAGTGGGATTACAATGCTGATTTATGATTTTAACTTTTTTATTCAGTAGGTGAATCCATGATGTCTTAAACGAGTGTGTGAACCTCACTGTTTCTATTTAACTGTAATGATTTTAGCTTTAAACTGCAGTATGTGGTCACTGTTGCTCTATCTGTTGCTCTCTAGTCTGAATATGCTAAATGAACGGCAGGTTATATTTTTTTAAATAAATCTCTGAGCAGATGACACATTATTTAAATATCTTGGTTTCATTTTGTCTCATTGTTCTGTTATCTTACGTAATACACTTACGTAAAAGCCATTTATATATTTTACTTATTTGCATAGCATTTGATTTGACGTAATCCAAAAGAAACGGCCTTCAAACACGTCATCACTAAACACCTCAGAACGTAATAAAGTAATCCTCCCAGCCCTGTTGAGGTTCTTGCTGCTTAAAATGGGCATAAGACACAATTTAGGAGTCCAATTTAGCAAAAAGGTGCTTGAAATTGGCCACACTGGTTTATTATAGACATTTTTGTTTTAGCTGGATGGTTTTCTATTTATTTACTTGTTACTTTTTGTTTTGTTTGTCTTCTGTCTGTGTGGGATTTGTTTGCCCTGATGTTACGCAGTATTTACATTGTTACTCTACCTATTTTTCCTATAAGTGAAGATTTTTTTACCTACTTTTGATACATGCACTGATAGAATAACTGTATGTATATATAAAACATGGCCACACTGCATGATTGTGTGTGTGTGTGTGTGTGTGTGTGTGTGTGTGTGTGTGTGTGTGTGTGTGTGTGTGTGTGTGTGTGTGTGTGTGTTACCTCTGAGGCGTTGGCAGTGAGTCCCACAGCGATGTATCCTGCAGACTCTCCGCTCAGCTCGACGGAGAGGTCAACCCCGTAGGGAGGCACTGGGACGGAGGAGACCGCGGAGGCAAACAGACAGGAAGAGTTTCCAGAGGGGTCACAGTTATTTGGAGTCTCCACACACAGTTTGGAGACTCCACAGCCATCTCGAGTGATGTTCACCTGTCAGACACACATCGAAACATCAACACAGGCTTTAAGGGTCCCCTATTATACCGTTTTTCATCAATATAGTTCTCAGTTATTTACAAAACATGTCTCTGAAGTGTTTGGCTCCAAATATCAAACAGATCATTGTCGCATCCCATAATTCCCTCTGTTTCAAAAGTGCTGATTCTCTGTCTGTTACTTTAAGGTCCTTACACACCGAGCCGTCTATGTTGATAGATGTCGGGCCGTCGATGAGCGTCGTGTCGCCCTACTCAGATTGGTGTGTGGTGTCTTTTTGGCCGTGCCGACACCTTCTGCCACTGATTCGACATGTTGAATCGGGAGGCCGTCGGCCAAAGAAGTCACTCTGATTGGCTGTTCAGCTTAGCGAATCAGTGCATGAGAAGCGAAACGGAAGTGAGGAACCAAAACAAACTATTAAGAAGGCAAATCTGAGATTTCATTTAACTCCAGCTCTCGTCACAGGAGCCCCATGAGCTTCTCATTGTAGAGTGAAAATGGAACGCACACGCTATTTGTAGTTTATTTATATCACGCAGTCTGTTATTCTTCTCTCGGTGTATCACGCAGTCTGTCTTCCGGTTGTTGCCTCTTTTGAATGACGAATACACACTACCGCCGCCTGCTGGCAAGGAGAGTTATTGCCACTCACGCATGCGCAGTTCGTACGTGCTACTTGGCCGTCGGCTGAAGTCTTTGCGGTGTGTTCTAGTGCGAAACATGGCCAAGAAGACGCAGGAGACGTGAGGCGACGTGAGGCGACGTGAGCCGTCGGGACGTGTTCTTTGGTGTTCTTTGGTGTCAGTTTGGTGTGTAAGGAGCTTTAGAAGAAAATAAGGAGCCACTCCCCACGCACCTCTGAGAGATATTTGGTTAAAAAGAACACAATGGTGCTCTAGGAGGAGATTCAGGTGATAAGGTGGGTGGGGGGGGGGGGGGGCTAATGGTTACGCAAGCCAAAAAATCGTTATGACATCATAAAGTGGCCAAAATCTCATCAGCTCATTTTCAGACAGGTTTTTATAGAAATGGATGAGGACAAAAGTGAGAGAATCTTTTTTCCTGAAACTTTCAGAATCTCTTTACACCGAGGGGACACGTGTTTATGTATAAAATACATTAAAAAGTGGATTTTGCATGACCTTTAAAGATCTGCGGCTACTCTCAGCTGGCCTCATTCTTTCCTTCATCTATTTTGTAGTTAGATTACATTTTATTTAGCTGACGTTTTGTGTAGAAAGTGATTTACTATTTCAGCAATCAACCATGAGGATACAAACTCGGGAAAGCAAGACGAATACTGCAACTACACTACATTTAAATTAGACCAACAACTTGTTGTGTTGGTTGTTGGAGATTTCGAGGGATATCTGGTCCGCTTTTCAAATCTCCGCGCGTTCCTATGAAGCTGGTTATAATACAGGAAGGAATCCATATCTACAAAGTAACCGTTAACAATAATCTACTTTAATGGCAATATGACAATGCAATACAATCATTACAATACAACATGATATATTACAGTTATATTGTAATGCTTAAGGAGTAATGCCGGCTTACTCCTGCCCTGGTTCGCATACTGCAGAGCTACTTTCACCCGAGGGCAGCATGTGAAGAAGAGGCCGAACGCCAGGGATCCACCGGATATATACCAGAGTAAGAAGGAGGGGTTTGGTGTTAGGTCAGCTGGTCATCTTTTCAGCTCATCTCATTGGGAGACGCAACGCTGGCCAGCAGGAAACCAAACAGGCTCACTTTACAACAAAAGGTCTCAAGGCCTGCATACCTACACCTCCCCCACAGAGCAATAAAACCCTGTTTACTCCAACCAGCCCAGAATGTTTATAGCCATTTGTAGTCCTTACATTTATGAAAGGATAAAACAGAGAAATCAATATAAAACACAAACACAGGTATTGTTTGAACAGTATTCACTTAACTGCTACTATTGATAAGCACCAGAGAAACCCAAGGGACCTCTCTTAATATCACAAACCACTGTAGCTAGATCTAAGTTGAATGCAAATCAGGACATGCTCTCACCTTCCCCCATCTTCCTTTGTCCTCAAAAACACATGTCAACAGGCCCCAAATGCAGCTCACAGTTTTACCCAAATTATTCTCATTTTAAGCTTATCCATAGTTTGCTAACATGAATAAATACAAATATAACTCTACATGGTGCATTAGCTTCAAACATTTCTGTCAACATTTTTCATTAAATGGTCTTCTTTTTTTGTTTAATGGTTTTACGGTTGCTGTTTGTCTGCTCATTAATCTGCCTGTGAGTGTTTTCAGCTGTGTGTGTGATTAGGTAAATGAGCTGTGTGGTTGCTTCAACATAATTGGCTGCCCATCTCCTGGTCCGCCTCTGAAGGTGGTGATTGGATCGACATCGTCCAATCGCAGCGCACAGCCGGCGCACACCTGCTGGGGAGGAGTACAAAGGCTGCGGACTATCACCACTCTAGAGGCTCTGCTGTGTGAGCGGAGGCCTCTCGCTACTTACTCTTGGTCTGTGGTTAACTTGTGTGGTCTGTGTCAGGTAGTGTGATATTGTGTGTTAGTAGTGCCTAGAGTAGCTTAGTTAGAGGTTAGAGTAGTTTATATAGTGTTTAGAGTAGCTTAGGGTTTTGTGACTGTTGCCTTTAGTTTAGCTGTGTGTTTGGTATATATTTCCTGTGTTAGTCTGTACCACTTTTAAAGTGAGGTTTTGTTTAGTTCTTTATTTAGTGTGAGTGTTATTTCTTTGTATGCCTTTAGACTCCTTTTGAGTCCTCTGTTTGTTCGGTTATTCGTCAACCGGTGCCCTTTTGGCCCTTTTGTTTGTTCAGGCTGCGTGCCTTCCATTTTGTTACACCTTGCTTTATAATAAAACCATTTATAATTATACCAATACCAATCTGGTTGTGTTTCTTCCCTTTAGTTCCCCTAGCCTAATAGGGAACGTAACAAATGGCCAAAGTAGCTAACACTTGTTTTGCTTTGCTGAGTTACACTTCACCAATTTGACAATTTGTCAGTTTACTCGGCATGTTACATAATGTCCTATTTTTATTTCAAAAAGCTTTTTTAAGTTTGTGAGATGTCTAGAAACTATTGAGTTGCATTATGGGAAGTGTAGCGTCCACTGTGTTTTGGATCTTGACCAGTACCTGTCAATGTTTAGGCTATTTAGAATTGTTCTTAATTTTTTTTTTCATATTGATACTTTTATTATTATGGACCTCTTAGAATCAGAGCCGTGTTTTGTTTGGCAAAGTTATGAATTTGAGTCTTGAAGTCAGGCAACAACTTCTCAATGAAAGAGGAAAGAGAAGTCCAGACCGAGGAAATATGGCAGATTTTAAATACTACACTATACAGATCAACCTGACCTTTTATTAATGAGCTGCTACATTTAAAAATGTATTTGTAAATTATTATCAACCCTTCAAAATACAAAGGAAATTGGTCCTTGGAAAAATATGTGTTGGTTACCTGTTTGAAGTACAAAGGTCAAGCAGGTCATTTACATTCAGAGGATTGCAGTGAAAGAACTCCCACCTGTGTATTATTGGAAAAAGACAAATGAGCCGTTCCCTGGACTTCTGGTGACAGAAAGAGCAGCAACGCAGCGGCCAATACGATCAATCCTCCTTCCATTTCTATCAGGATGACAGTGATCGACAAACAATGGAGAGTTAATGTTGAACATGTCTGATTTGAGAGCCTTTCCATCACCGATTGACCCTCAGTTTTATTCAAAAATCTGAATTAATCCCAAAGATATTTAAACTTTCTCATAGCATATTCATACCTGATTGAATTTCACATTCAGACTTTTTCATTTAAGCACAATTATTTCTTATTTTGTGATTGTACATTTTTTGAAAACAAATACAGAATTTGTAGCAATGGATTATAATTTTTAGAGTTAAAGGTGGGGTAGGTAATCTTGGAGAAACCAGCTCGAGTGCGTTAGAATTTGAAAATACACAGCCGGAAAATATCTGAGCCTTCCTTACAGAGCCCCTCCTCCAACACACACGAACGCGCGCATGACCAATGAGGGCACGAGATAAGTTAGTGCACAGATGGAAGGCTGACAGGCAGGTAGGCCATCCAGTTATTTTAGCCGGGCCGGCTCAGATGATTGGTCGTGCTTTTTACAGTACTACGGCTTCCACAGATGAAATCTTTTTATGGATGTTTTGTCAAAGCACTTTATATATTCATTGCTATCAGGATGTTAAGAGCATTCCATGGAATATAACAAAAAGTGTATCTCGAGCCGGTTTCTCAAATGTACCTACCCCACCTTTAATACTTTTATAAAATCCTATTTTTACAATTCTTTTGATCACAATCAGATCATTAGACCTTCGTTTTCCTCAGCAAAATTATAAAATCACTAAAAAAAGATTACTTTTATACTCTTACTTTTTATACACTACTCTACTTTTCAGGCATTTGAGAGAAAGTTAGCAAACTTAATCATCTACAAATGTAAAGTAATATTGAGTTCTTTAATTATCTGTAAACCAGAAAACTTCTCAATATCGTTAATCTACTCCAGGAAAAGTAAAAACATGAAGTAGGACAATAGTCTTTAAAATCACACAGCAAACAACATTAAGAGAAAGAAGTGGGTATACATTAAAATTAATAATAACAAATCCTTGAAAGTAATTAGGTTTCTCGTAGAGACTTACCTGAGGTGTGAGAGTCAAATGTTGAGTTTTAAGAAAGTTTCTTCAGCTGTATCTGCTCCTCTGTGTGAGAGCTCCTGTGAGAATGATCAGCACTGATGCTGCTGCGTGATGAGGGAGGAGAGGGAGTTTCTGCAATATCCTGGAACAGGTGTGTCCAGCACCTGACTGTAGCAAATCAAATAAGTTGAAATAACTTTTATCCATGGAAAATGACACACTCCTGTCATTATTATAATTCATCGTGACATGTGATCCGTTGGTGCCTAACAGAATAAAGAGACGTCACGACACCGTCAGTGAGAACAGAAACTTGACCTGTTGTAAAGTGAAATACAGATTAGGCCGAAAGTGTGATCTAACACTCCTGTCAGATTACTGTGCTGGCTAAATAAACACCGTATCCACAGCATACATTAACACACTTTGATGCACTCCAATTGAGTGTGAAAGGGAAAAAATAACAAGTAATGTCACTTTTTTTTAAGCCAGATGCTTTAAGATCAATAAGATTCATTTTAAGTTAAACATTTGCATTTAATTAGACTTAAAATTCAACCAAACATTTCATAGACCTTGTGTTTCTCCTTATTATACTCCTGCTAAAGTTGAAAATCTTAGAAACTATATTTAACCCATTATAGGACACTTTGTTCTCCTGAGACTCGGACGGATCACATTTATTTTGTTGTTACCCTTTCTTTAAAGCAGACCTCACCCTTGCTTAACAAAAGAAACTGTGCCAAAAGTATTTATTTCTCATTCCTTTACAAACTAGAGGGGCACTGTTTTACTAGTAAGATCCCCATTATCTTAATTGTGACTATTTCTAAAAAGGTAATGTTTGGAAAACAGCAGTGAAAGCTCTGTGTAAGAAACCTCAAGAATAAAGTTAAATGTCAAAGTGAAACACAGCAAACACAGCTTCCCCAGTAATGTAACAAAAGCATCTAGCGTTGTTCCTCTAAAAAAATAATAATAAAGTGTACAAACGCACTGACACCTGCTAATGTAAAATAAAAATAAATTATGGAAAGGAACAAAGTGTCCATTTTGCTAGAAGTTCATATTTGTACCTGATTCTCTTAGCTTTATTATAAGTAACGTCCTTACGTACAATAATAGACAGACAGTAAGCACATGTTTATGTTTAATAAATGCTTAATTATACTAAAATACATCTGCTTATATGAAGGTCTTAATGCAGTTTCACAGCACTGACAGGAACAGTTTTGTGAGAATAGTAACTTGAGTAATATTTGACAGAATTACTGAACCCTTTAGTTTGTGGTTGAGGTAAATAGTGATATATTTTACTTACTTTACTCTTTACAAGTCTGTGTGTGAATACATTTGTGAATCAGCCCCTTCAAGTCCTTAAATCCTCGAACACAATACAACTGATCTGATCCTCTCCTTCTCAGTTGGTATGATAACATTTGAAGAACTAAACACAAACAGGTGGAGGGGAAAGGTTTGTCATTGGTTTCAATATTGTGAGTTTTAAGCTGCATTCAAGTCTATTGGCGCATTTCCACTGCAGCGCGTAGCAAGGTTTAAGCGTGTCGTGCAAAACCCGACCCGTTTTTTTTTGCTTTTCCACTCAGGGCTTTTCCGGCTCAGGGCTACTTTTTCACCTTTTTTCTGGCCCTCCAAAATCAAGGTTCTTACCGGGCCAACAAACCGGGCTGAATATGCTAAACTAGTGACGTAAACACTCTCGACTGCTGAATGGTCAGAGAGAATCGCTGGCAAGGGGGCTACAACTACAACAAAATGAACACATTTTACCGTGATTTAATTGTAATACGTGTTTCAAAATGATGCCGAAGTAACAACATACTGATACCGGTTAGTAAAAACCATGAATTAATGCTTTGACAAGTCTGCAGACAGACCGCAGGCGAAAAACCTTTTAAA